CCCGCCACCCAGCGTGCACACACGTTACTGTCTGCACGGGAATCGGGAGCCAAGGATCAGCAGGTCGAAGACTGGGGCAGGGGCAAGGCCCTCTCGTTCTTGCGTCCCCCGTTCATGTGCGCGTAAGGCTGTCTCTCATCGAAGCTGGCTCGGAGAACCAGCACGCCAGGGCCCGGGCCGTTCTCGGCCTTGTGTCCTGAGTGTCTGTCGGGCAGCGGCAGGGAGGACGAGGAGGCGGAGGGGTCCAGGGGGACGCTCTCCATGTTCTCGGGCTCCAGGTCCAGCTCCTCGGGCTCGGGCGGCTTGTTCTCCTCGCTGTAGTAGAAGGAGACCTCCCGGAAGCCGGGCTCCATCTCGTCCTTGATGCTGCTGATGATCTCCAGGAAGGCGGGTCTCATCTTGGGGTTGTACTGCCAGCACATGCGCATCAGCTCAAACCTGGGGCGGAGACAGACAGGCGATGCGCCCCGCCGCCCGCTGTGGCCGTGGCCGCGCAGCCTCCCGGGCCACCCGCTGTGGCCTCCCCCGACACGCGGACACGGCAGCGCTCTGTCTTTCTCTCTCGGTGGCCCAAGGGGCCTCAGCTTCTCCCGTCTCATGTCCCGCCATGCCTTTCGCTTTCCCCGGGGCCCAGGACCCGCCGCGGGACAAGACCTAAGCGCTCCTCTCCCGGGGAGGCCAACTCCAGGTTCACACACCGTCTGTCATCACAGGTATTATGGTGACAATGCTAAGATTTAAAAACAGGGGCGCGTGGGTGGCACCGTCGGTGGGGCGTCGGACTCAGCTTCAGCTCAGGCCGCGATCTCAGGGTCGTGGGATGGAGCCCCGCGTCAGGCTCTGTGCTCAGCAGGCAGTCTGCTTGAGATTCTTTCTCTCCCTCTCCCTCTGGCCCTCCCCCCACTCTCTCTCTAAAATAAATCTTTAAAAAAAGAGATAAAAACACAGCATTCTATTTAAAGCATCTCTTGTAGCCACTGATGGAACCTCATGTGCGGAATTAGAGTGCGGGAAACCTCTGGTGTTTCCGTGTAAGGGTTAGGGCGGATCGCAGCTCTCCCGACGGGTGAGCGCTCTTTTTTTTTTTTTTTTTTTTAAAGATCTCATTCATTTATTTGAGAGAGAGAGCACATGAGAGGGGGGAGGGTCAGAGGGAGAAGCAGACCCCTGCCGAGCAGGGAGCCCGATGCGGGACTCGATCCCTGGACTCCAGGATCATGACCTGAGCCGAAGGCAGTCGCTTAACCAACTGAGCCACCCAGGCGCCCCCGGGTGAGCGCTCTTTTAATCCCACCTCTGCTGTTTCTGAGCCTCGCCCAGTGGCTGCGGCCGGCCAGCTGGAGCACGCCTTCCAAGTCGTCCGGGGGCCCCGCCAGCGCCGGCCAGGCTGCCCCTCAGAACTGAGTGACAGTCCCAGTGACGGCCTGCAGCCAGAGCCCACCAAGGCAGCAGGGGCCGGCAGGGCAGGCAGCGAACACAGCGTGACGCCCGCGCTGGGTCTGGCAGCTGCACCGCAATGCCACTTGGGCCCCGAACCTCTGCGAAGCCCTCAGAGCCAAGTGGACCACCGGGAGTCTTCCTGGCAACGGGAAGGGGCCCCCCAAGAGCCGGAAGGAGACAGGAAGAATGGGGTAGTGTGGCCAGCTGACCTGGGGGGGCCTGGGCTTTGACAAGAGTTCGGGGAGGCCGGGGGAGGAGGGGATGCTTCTGATTAACCCACAACGCAGAGAGACCCAGCTTAGTAGACCTTGGGAGCGGAAAGGAGGGTGACTGAGCAAACATCCAGGCTGGCCCCAGAGCCGGAGGCGGCCACGGGTCCGAGAAGGGACTGGCCAGTGGCCCTTCTAGCTGAAGAGATGCTTTTCAATAAAAATGGCTACATGGAACTCCCCATATTTAGGAAGCACAGAGTACCCCAAACTGGCTTCTAGCCTTCGGGCTGACCACTAGACTGACAGAGCACTTGCTTCTGTCTGGGCCCGGGGAAGAAGCCAGGGGGCAGGCTGGTGGGACACAGAAACTGGCCTGCAGACAGAAAGCTCCTAAGCTAACGGGGCCAGCTACCTTCACAGACCTGGGGGAAAAGGTGTCAGGTCGTTGGAGGGAAGAGGATGTGACCTTGAGGGAGGGTGGGCACAGGAGACTTTTGGCCTGTGTTGCTACCTGTTTTTGTAAATCGTGTTTTATTGGAACAGCCATGCCCATCTGTTCATAGGTCTGTGGCTGTTCTCAAGGGGGGCCAACTTCTAGTTGAGTAGTTGGAACAGAGACTGGCCTAGAAGCCCAAAATATTCGTCCTGTGGCCCTATATCGAACACGTCTGCTACCTGTGCTCTGGCAGCAAAAGATCTGGACGAAATGTGAAGACCAACTGGATTTTCCCCTCCCGACCCAGCCCCCTGCCCAGCCACCAGCCGCAGGCCAGGACCGGCCTCTGCCTAACGCGCTCTGAAACACACACGGGGCGGCGCGCGGGCTTTTACCCGTGCGGCCTGCTTTCATCCTCCCGAGTCCGGGAGGCCGGCACCCGAGACTACATGCCCACTGTGTAGGTGAAGAAGCGGAAGTCCCAAGAGATGACACAGTCTGTCCCAACAGTGAGGGCGGAGCGGGGCTGGGCGCTGAACACCACCTACCTCAGGGAAAGGGGCATTTTCTCAGCCTCAGCAAGAACCACCGTGGTCCCCCCAGGAGACCGGTTCCTCTCCTCGAGTCAGTGTCGTGGGGGATTTGCACAGATAAACAGGCAGCTCCTGCCTCGGGTCAGATGGCAAACAAGCCTGCCTTCCCTGACCTCCCACTACTGCCCAGGGAGAAGGGCTCCCCCCCACCAAACAGTACACGAGGCCCCTCTCTATGGCTCCGCCGCGCTCTCCTCTCTGGCTGACCGACCTGTCCCCGACTAGAGGCGCGGCTGGGGGCCGGGGCCAGGAGCACGTGATGGGGTGATGGGCGCTGGCTCGGGGCTGCTGCGGCCTGGGGGGGGGATGCTGAGGAGGTGCCACCAGCCAGCAGGGGAACGACTGGAGTGACAACAGCACAAACGACCATGTGAGGCCCCAGTCACAGCCCTTCCAGGGCTGCCCATAAAAGGAAGTCTTTTTCACTCTGTCGGATTCAAGACCTTGTTTACACTATCTCCACAAGAAAACTTTCCAGTAGACTCTAGAAGGATTTATGGGCTGATAAAGCTCTTCTTTAAAAAAGCCCCATGTTTTACAACTAGTTGGCTCTGCTGAGGCCGAGCTGTCCTTTCCCGAATGACCCCTTGTGGGGGCCGGGGAGGGGGGAGTTGCGCAGCCCCTTCAACCCCGGGGGGTGGGTCAGGGAAGAGATGGACCGGAGCTGCTTGCTGCCCTGCCCTGCAGTGAAGCCGCTTAAGGGAGACATGTGTGACCCCGGGGGGCAGCGTGAGGAAGAGGGACAACTGGCCTGCCCCCTCCCATCCTGCACACAGAGGGGCCTCCAGATTGCCACCCTACTCTTGGCCCTGCTGGGCATGCACGCAGGTTGTGAGCACAAGCCAAGACGTGAGAGGCAGCACAGTCCACTTGGCCACCTTGCAACAAAGACCAGATGCCAGAAAGGCCCAGAAGGGCTGGGTGTGCCCCTCCCTCCACCTCCTCCTGGCAGCCCGGGACAGCCAGGATCGTCTCTTGAGCCTCCTCTCAGCTGGGGCCGGCAGGGGGACAGCAGGCCTGCCTGACCCCTCACCCCAAGTCACTCTGTCTTTGGGCCGAGATCAAACGCAGGGCCCAGGTACCGCGGGACAGCCCATGGTCGCAGCACGGCTAACCAGGCGAGGACAGCCATTCCTGACTGTTTGGATTCTACTCCAGCACCCGATTCCCACAAAACCAGCACAGGATCACCAGCGAGGAGGGAGCTTTAATCAGCAAGAGGAAAAAGTGTGTTTGAAAACTGCAAAACCCACCAGAGTCTACTGAATCTGTTCCAGACTCATCTATGAGTTGGTGACTCTCTGGGCCAAAAACTTCAAATTCTGTCCTGAGTGCTGTATACTGAGGACCGGCCCCGGCAAGGGTCTGGACGTGTGACGCTGGAAGTTTTATGGAAGACCATACGGCTTCTTGGCCCAGGGCTTACACTCTGGCGCAGCTCTGCTCTAGGTATGTCCTGCAGCAGTAGAATCCGGCCCTGCTACCCGGCTTCTGAGAGTTAGGACTGTGCCTTACGGCCGTCTCTGGGCTGTCAGCAGTCAGCATGTAGCCAGAGGGGCTCAAGGACATTCGTGGTGTAAGTACAGAGACGCGAGATGGGCTTTGTCATCCATTTAAAATGCGGAACCACCAGCGAACCACAAGTCAAATCTGATCTCGTGCCACTTGTTAAATTAATTCAAACCCAGTGTCGGTGTTAAGACTCGCAAGCCTAGACTCTCTGTGGCTTGGACCATGGAGCCTTTCCTCTAAAGCCCAAGTGCGCGGCGCCGTTGAGGGGATGGAGACTACTGGCCACTCCAGCGGAGCCCACTTCACATGCTTGTGGGCATCGCCAAGACGCTGGTGCAGAGCTGAGTGCCCCCAGCAGCCACTGCACACCCCGCCCCCGCGTTACCCTGCTGGGGTCCGCTCAGACCTCTGGAGCCACACAACTGAAGTGGTCTCTCTCCCACTTGGAGGCCCAGCAGGGCTTTGGGGCAACTCCCAAGAGCTCGGCGACTCTCCTCTCCTCTGGGACAAACAGGAGTCCATTCTTTCAGTGCCTACGTAACAAAAGAACTCCTCTCCCAGAACACTCCTTTACCTAAGCTCATCAGGAAGTTCAGGACAACACAGACACTCCCCCCACTCCGTACAACCAACTCGCCTCCCTCCATTTTGTTATTTTCTTAGAAGGGAGAACAGTTTGCCACAGGGGTTCTGGATGGCGAAGCAGAAATGCCTCGTGAATTAAACATTTAATATCCAACGGTAACCTCTCCATGTGAGTTTCCTGGTCACTCTGTGCTGGGAACAGGAAGTTTACCGCTTTTCCCACGGCAGGTGGGCTGCTTCCCAGGCATATTAAATTAATATCAAAACTCCAGTCACCAGGAGGTAGGTCAACTTCAGGAGTCCCACGAGTTTCTCAGCGGCCAACACTTATCTGAGTCAAAGAGAAAGCTCAAAAAACAATACCTCTCCTCCCACCACCCCCAAACCACGTGAACAAAACGCACACCTGCTTTCTCGGACTGTCTCTAAGCTTGCCACACCACAGGTTCTAGCCACCGCCTCTGTTCCGCACCAGACACTTGGATGCACATTCAGTGGGCATCACTCCTCATACTCCATTACTTAGATTTCTGCTCTGAAGGAAGATTTCTCTTCTAATGGGCTGACAAGGATACAGTGACCACACTGTTCAGAGAGAACAGTACCTGTGAGGGAAACTGGGAGTCAGTGGGCTGTGGTACCCAGCCCCCAGGGACCCCCACCTCCTGGTATGCATGCCCGCTGTAATCAACCACGTCACGGAGGGCTGCCCCCTGGGGTTAGGCCATAACGGCCTCTGTGGCTTCTGCTCTGCCCTGGCATCACTTGCTCTTGGGCAGGGTGGGCAACCTACAGGCGCCCACGGCCCAGATCTAGCCTCCGGGCCAATTTCTTAAGCCCTAGGAGCTAAGAACGGTTTCTATATTTAAGAGTGGTTGGAAAAAATAAATCAAAATAAGAATAATATTTTGTGACGTGAAAATTATGGGAAATTCAAACTTCAGTATCCCCAAATCAAGTTGTGCGGGGGCACAGCCATGGCTCGATCACGTGGTATCTGTGACTGCTTTGGCGCGATGACAGAGGTGAGTGGCTGTCATTGGGACCGTATGGGCCCCTGGAGCCGAAAATATTTCCTCTCTGCCCTTCTAGAGGAAGCGTCTGCTGAGCCCTGCTCGAGGAGAAGCCCGCTGCCTGGCACTCGGCCGCATGGGTGCGCCACCCTGGGAGTGGGTCCCAGCCCCAGTCAAGCCTTCTGCTGACTGCAGCCCTGGCCGAGAGACTCGGAGCCCGAGCCGTTCAGCCGAGCCGCTCCTGGCTTCCCGGCCTTCGGAACTCCGTGGGATGGCAAATGCTTATTGTTGTTTTAAACTGTTAGGTTTGGGATGATGTTGTACTGCAGTAAAAAACTGGTACAGTTCGGGAGAGGGAGCGTTTCCACAGTAGGCAAGAAAATGCACTAAGTGACTTTTTTTTTTTTTTTCCTTTTAAACTAAGTGCCCTTTTGAACCCTCCTACACTGTTGGTGGGAATGCAAGCTGGTGCAGCCACTCTGGAAAACTGTATGGAGGTTCCTCAAAAAGTTGAAAATAGAGCTACCA